TATTACCCAACATAAGTTTTAGAAGATTTGGGAATAGTTCTTGTGATTAAACTTCTTCAAATTGCTGTTTTAGATCAACTCTCCGGACACACAATGTCCATGTATGCTACGTGTATACCAAGTGCATGTAGTTATACATTCCCAGATTGCTGTGAGTGTGAAGAAATACCTGCTCAGATAATCATGCAAACAGGGTATGTGCAGTCAGACCTGTCTTTAGCGGCTACCTCTCTATAAAGACCACTTGTTTTAGAGGTTCCTCACATTGTCTCGCCCTAGGAGGGAAGATGCCTAATTGAAGAACCTGTCTAGAAAGGCCATCTGTCTACGTTCATAGGCCATTTTTTTCAGTTTCCAATTAATGGTCATTACAGACAGGTTTGACTGCAGTTTTAAGAAAAATGTGACACTGTGCTGCATTGAATTGCTGTGATCTTGAGAACAAATATTAATGTTATTTGATAGTATACCTTCTTTTTAATTGGGGTGGAGGGTAATTTGGTTTTTAAATGTGTGTGTCTAGGCTTCAATAAAATGGAGAGTTCGATAATACAATAATTGTGCCAGTAATGCAGTAAAACCTGTCTATAGTGCTACTGCTAACCTAAGTTGTCTCTTAATTGGAAGAAATATGCTGTAAATCCTGTCTAGACAGGACACCTGCGTACAGTAGTCAGTTTTCATTTTTCCCTTGGGTGACCTTTATAGACAGGTTTGGCTGTACTACAGTTAACAGACATGTATATATTTTTTTAATACACCAGTTTACGGTTGTGTGCGCCATTTTAAACAAAGCCAATGACCTAGAGGTCATGTATTCATGCGTAAATTAAGATTGCGCCCATGCAAATTATGATGATATCACTGCCTACGCGCTGCGTTGTGCGCGCACATCATCATTTGCATGGGCGCAATCTTAATTTACACAAAAATACCACTGACCTCGGGTCATTGGCTTTGTTTCAAAGCCAATGACCCGAGGTCAACTGTCTGCGCCTGCGCACTGATACAACCGTAAACTGGTGTATTGCAGATAAGATTAGTTAAGTTATATTTTATATCTACACTAATATTTTATTGTATTTAGGAAAATAAAACATGGTAGAATCCCTGCTTTTTAAATCTAATTTCGTTTCCTGGTGTTCCTTTATCATTATTTCGTTTATTTCTGTAATTCTCTGGAGTTGCCTTTTTCTCAGTTTCCCTCTCCCATAAAGATTTATCCTTTATTTATTTTTTAATCTATGATGGTAAATCCCCCCCTCTCTCTCTCTCTCTCTCTCTCTCTCTCACACACACACACACACACACAAACACACACACACACGCGCTCTCTTTCTCCCTTCCTCCCTCTCTCTCCCTCTCTCTTTTTCTATCCCTCTCTTTCTAGTTCTTCCCTTTTTTTTTGTTTTCATTTTGTTACCTTCCACAATCATGTCTTTAATCTGAGGGGGAAGGCGTGATGGAGAGAGGGGAAAAGAGATAGAGAGCGTGAGGGAATTGGAGAAAAAGGGGGAGCGGAGGAGAGATAGAGAAAGAGAGAGAGAGAGAGAGACTGAGGGTGCTGCATGACTACAAAAAGTGTAGGTGGGATTGCTTGAAAATTTAAGACCTTTTTGTTGTCAGCAATTCTATTATTATGGGCCTAAGATATACTCATTCAAGCCTCGTTTACTTCTCTATGATCAATTAGTTTTCAGTACAATGCATACAATTAACTTAGTTTTTTTTGCTGCTTGCATTACTACATATTCTTGGGCTTCTAATGTTACCATTTCGTAAAGTAAATGCGGAAAGGAATAGTGAGTCAAAATCAAACCAAATGCATTAATTTGGAAGTAGGTCGCTGGCCGGTGTGGGTCACATAACGCGTACCCATGTATGCGCGCTTCCATTGTTGACGTCACAATATAGGAAACGCATGGTGAGTTTATCATTATGTTGCGCATGGTGACCTGAGGAACACATATCGGGCGTAATGATGATGTAAACGTGTAAACATGAACAACCATTACAAAAACACCCAAACATCAACAAGGAAAAGCATGTATACCAAGGAAACCAACACTACCTCTCCCTTCTAACGATATTTGAGAGCTACCAATAATGACAGGAAACCTGCAGACTTGTAAGTATAAATCATGGAAAATCTTATTGTTATACTTACCTTTGATATGAACGAATTCCTCAACCGAAAATAAGGACCGAACCATTTCCGATCTCTTGCAGCAAATTAAGAGCAGGACGGGGAATTGTGTGTCCGGACACTTAACAAAAGTAAAGTTGCCACTTTTACCGTTGAATTATACGAAAAAGAAGCCGCATCATTGAATACAGTAACCATCATAAAGTATGCCCTTTATACAAGTCTTAAAAGTTTTATGGAAACATTACCAATCGTCATTATGAAATTTAATCACGGGAACAAATTCATTCCAGTGAGGCTCGATCTATATCGATTGTCTATAATATTTTCCCATTCATTGCAATTAACAAAATAATTTACGTTTGAAATGTCTATTTATCAAATGTTTGGATAGTGTTAAATATTTATTGCGTTACGTATGTCATGTGGTCTGGATAACTTAATAGGGAACAGTAAATTATTGTTACCCTCTGACCAAGCTGATCCCGATCATCCCGAGGGTTTTTCAAGATGAAGAAAATGGAAGAAGAAAACAAAGTCATAATGGCTGCAATAATGGATCAAGACAAACCGCCATCTACGGGAGCAGCAACAACATGCCATGACAAGAAAAATGGAGGAACCTGTGAGGAAAAAGAGCAGGAAGGCGAGACACCAGAGAAGAAATCATCTGCAGCAGTAATTGAAGGTTATCTTTCTCATCTTCTCTCTCCACCTCCCTCTTTTTACTACCCAACCATCTACTCATCCGGTTTCTACAAGCCCCCCCCCCCCTCGCTGTATCTTATCTCGTTTCTCCCTCCCGCTTCCACTCGCACTCTCTGTTTCTTCTTTCTTTTCTTCCTTTCTTTCTTTCTTTCTCTCTCTCTCTCTCTCTCTTCTTCTACTTCCTTTTTTTTCTTTTTCTTTTTCATATTTCTCTTCATAGTTCGTCTTCTTCTCCTTCTTCTTCTCCTCCTCCACCTTCTTCTTCTTCTTCTGCGGCCCCCTTTTCTTCTTCTTCTTCTTCTTCTTTTCCTCCTGCTCCTGCTCCTGCTCATCCTTCTCCTTCGGTAGTCATGCATGAGTCAAGGATAAATTTATATTATTTTTAAAAAACCCACCACAATATCATATCAAATTAAATTAGCTTGATTCTTTACCTATACTTCAATAGTTACATCGACCATGTAAAACTCTGTTTGATCAGATGGAAACCACCGAACCATTTAGGCTTGTTGAATTAGTGAATAATTCAATAACGAAAAAGATCTCCCCGGCAGGCAATAAAATTAATACTAGATCAAAATGTGAAATCAAATCTATGATGAGACGATTTATATTTAGGCTATTCGACGTACATGCAGTTAGAGAATTATAATATATTGCAGATATTGAGGGATGGAAATCAAAACAAAATTGTCGGGGTTTGAACCTAGCCTAATGTTTGTCCTCGTTTAGGATTAGTTTCCAAATTAAGGACTTAAAAAGACAAAAAACATTGTTTCTCAAGTTATGTTCTCTGTCTTATGTTTTTTTTTTTGGTGAACTACAAAGTTGACCAGATAACCAGTCTTGATAGTGAGAACAGAAGAACAGCCGACAGCGCCCTCTCACCGATTGACCTCCGAACGCATCATAACGGAATCACCCTCCAAGAGGATGGATCACAAACCTCAAAACAAGATGAAAAGATGACGAATGCAGACAGCGCCCACTCACGGCATCTTGATCGAGGATGGGCGTGGGTCGTCATGGCAGCGGCCATGATGACCCACATCATGAGCTTTGGTTTGATCTACGCCATGGTTGGGATATTCCATGTTGAACTGCTAGCGGAATTCGGGAGGAGCGATTCTGACACGGCATGGACGGGGAGCATTCTTCTAGGAACCATGTTATGTTCAGGTTAGAACCTTGGAGCCCCACTGCACTACTTACAGCTACTTGCGCCCTCTTTATAACAAACAATGCCTAATCGGTGACCATTGGTCCCCTATGATCCCCTTTTTCTTATGTTTATTGAGAGCTGATTTGATGAGATAACCAGGTCCTGTCAGTGACCTTGTAGGGGGGGGGGGGTCTAATCCCCCTCCTATACGTAGTGTAGTGGGGCTTTAATTTCTCTAAAACTCAATATCTTTAAAATGTTCACTAATAATGTTTATCCAGGGAAGCCTCAAAAGCTCCAATGCTGTTCATCCTGAGGCCCTGCAACTTAATATCCTCGAGCAATTACCAGGTACACTTGTTTACACCTGGGTGAAGAGTGTCAAATGTGGATTGATATGTTGCCCACATTCTTTAGTGCCGGGTTGCGATTCGAACCCTCAACCCTCAGATTGAGGATCAGGTGAATGAACCACTGTACCACAACCCCCTTCAATTTCTTAAGTTTTTTAAATCATTGCATGTGGGTATATTTTGTTAGGGCTTTTGACTTCAAATACAAAAAGTCCCAGGTTTTAACTTTTCTCAATGCTTCCATTCTTGGACAGATGTATTAAATGGATATCTGACAAGGTTGGACAACTTTAGTTACAGGGCGTGTAAGAGTAGTAACTGATTTAGCTTACCTGGGTTAACAACTTCAAAATATTATCTATATTAATATAAAATCGTAAAAAATAACATAACAGAAATGAACGAAAATGTATGCCATTACCTTAGTTAGGGGGTCATTATTTTACCTATTCAGTTAAATTATTTGATCTTCTATTTCTCAACTACTTTCTAAAAATCCAATCGAGGGCAATTTCAATAGCCTTTTGTATATCCAATCACATTCACGTTCGCATTACGTCATAAGTCATTGTCATATTCGTAAATTTCAATTGGTGACGCGGCACAAGGCTATTGAAATTGCCTTAACTTGATGTTTCGAAAGTTGTTGCGATCGTATTTGAAATTGATTTATTACTTCTCAGGTCCAATCGCCAGTGCCTTGGTTGGTAGGTTTGGTGCCCAAGCTGTTGCTATCGTCGGAGGCTTGATGGCATCAGCAGGTTTCTGTCTAAGTGCTCTAGCGCCCTCTCTGGACTACCTCTTCTTTACATACGGCGCTTTGACAGGTGCGTGACTTAAAGGCTAAGTCCACTCCAAAAATAATTTCATTTTGATAGATGCAGGAAAACAAGAGAAACAGAGCAAACAGAAATTGAGTAAATCGAATAACTTTTAAGG